GCATCCCTAAAGGATGGCGAGCTGTGGGCTCCCAGAAGATGCTTTCCTGTCCTTCTTCTCCAATCACACCTCCTGCAGCCAGGTAGGTGACCCTGCAGATGTCAGTGGGTGCAGGCTGGGGAGCTGGTGCCTTAGCCAGATGGAGCATGGCTGGCTCAGCCCTGATGTCAGACCTGAGGGGTCTATGCACTCATGTGCTGGGCTAGCAGTGAGTTAAGGTCAAGCTTGAGTGCACATAGAGGACCTCAGGTGATATCCCCTAACACCAACCTGCTGGCCCTCGAAGCTTTGTACATCACATAGAATGCCATACAGGCTGCTGGAGCCTAGGCTGGATACATTGTATTCACTAAGATTCTATAAGAATGCTCTTCATACAGGACTTTAACTGCTTCCTAGGAGTTTGTGTCCTTGTAAATGTCGTGAGCTGTGAGTTGTAGAGGACATTGCAAGATGCTGGGGGGACTTCTAGATAGATGGCTAGCTATGGGTATTTATATATATATATATATATATATATATAGGTCAGAGCCTTCAGGCCCCAGCAGTGAAAGAGTTAACGTGCTGTACTTTGTCAGTATATAAACTTATGTATTCATTTCTAATTAGTTTATTTATTGGCTACATGTTGTACTTAAGCAGCTTATGTCTGCAGGCTTGGGGATTTAAATGACAATGTATCTTTTAGGTCCCACAAGCCACTTAACCCTTTTTGGTGCTGGACTGTCTGAGCAGACTATAGTGAATGAGATTTGGGAGTTAACTTCCTGAGAAAGCCAAGGGCCCTTGAGTCTCAAATTATATAATCTGAAAACTCATTACTACCTGTGTATAGTACATAGGATGTAACCTTGACATTGCACTGCAGCATGTACAACCTCCTTTACCTGTGAAACGTGTACCCCCCAGAAGCTGCAGATATATGTCAAATCCTGCCTCAAACCTATAGTTTTTTTATGTACCATAAATCACAATGGGGGTTCATCAGATATTGCACTCAGGTAACTGCCATTAAATGATCATGTGTCTGTTTTAACCCTTAAAGAAGGGTTATGAATACCAATGTCTTTAACCTACATATGTTCTAGTTTATTGTTAACAGAGATAGAATACAGTAATATTTGGTGGTGATCGTTCCCTTTAACATTCAGAGGTATATTCTGTTAAGAAAATTAATTCTGGTTTTTAAATCTGTTCTGGCTATTTGTTGCAGGGACGATAATATTTTCATTGAAGTAAAGTCCAATAGACAATGGGTATGAATGGTGAATATATACGTCGCTCTGCTATGTGTTGGACAAATAACGTGTTTATCTCCCATACAGTGCATTGTAAAGCTGAATATTCCAGGACATGTAACAGTGACATGTAATGCTCGTATTGAGGACAGATGTGCAGTTTGCTGTACAGAAATCAGGGGGAATGCACAATATTGTACTTTGTCCTTGCTGTGAACCAGTGAAAGACATTTAACCTCCATCAAATCCATAATGAAACGCTTTGCTCAGCATCCTGTGCTTACTTTTCCCATTTACCAACAGATCTTGTATACACAAATAACACACAACACACGTGTACATACTCTGCTATGATTCAAAGTGAATACGGGTTCTTTAATATGCAAAATACTTTTGTTCTTTGACTTTCATTAGGATGACAGATAGGTTCAGAACGTACGTTAAACACCTCTCTGATTTAACCCCTGTAAGCCCTAGCATGGTTAGCTACGTGATACATACTGATAGGGTTAAACTGAATAGTTTGGGGAAACATTACAACATGACTTTCGCCAACAGTGAATGTGGTTCTTAGTAGCACAGTTTAATTGGAATTTGGCTTTCACCATGGACACATGTCACTAAAATCTTGGGTCACAGATATGGGAGAAGATGGGTCGCTCAGTAAATTTTCTCAATAATGTCAAACGGTGGTTAACATAACCTTAACATTACTGCCAGACTGTTTTTTTTTTTTTTTTCCACTGCTAGCATTTTCCGGTGCGGCCAGTGATACACTTTGAATATATTGATAAACCATTTATAGTTCACATTAGAGTTATTTTAGAAGCATGCTGACTGTAGCTTGATGCAGTACCCAAGAAAAACTGCTGGGTGGTGGAGCAAGGCCCCTCATTACAAGTATATCTTTAGGGGATATGAAGAGTTCCCATTCTTTCTGACTGAGGGGAAGTTGGAGACCCTTCAGCATAACAGAGATAACTTCACCAACAACTTTAGTTAACCCTGGTGTAGAATATTTGCACGAAATGTACTTTATGAAGCCACAAGAAGACAATTGTCTGTGCTGATAAACTTGATAGAGAATTGGGAAAATGTGTGGATGACTTAGAAAAATGGGATTTCTAAACACATCGCAGAAGTTATCACAATGTCTTGCAAACATTCAGCAGTTTTTGTTCGGCTTGCTGAGGATTATATACATTTAATATAGCATACATTTTAATTATTTCTGCAACAGCTGGAGTTCTGTTTGAAGTTCATCATTATCTGGCTAAGAGTGATTGAGCAGGGAGATAACTTTCATTCATCTCAGTTCTCTTCTATTCCTCTGATAACATTCACTGCGTTCTTTGAGTCATTTTATTCACCACACTGGGCTGAATGGGTCCTTGCTATTTTAAAATGGATTTCATTGAAGCGTTGAAATTAGTTTGAAAATCGCTGTAGTTGAATTGTAACTGAATGGTGCCCGAATGGCAAATTAGTGTCCTTGTAAGAAAAAAATAAATGATCTTCTTAAGTAATAGGAGGGCATGGGAGGGGATGTAAAGTTGGGGCACTATTATCGTGCAAGGTGGTTTGGAGGATAGCTTTAGGGAGACATAGGATTATAAGTGCAATTCCTCTTGTCTGAATCAGGTGAAATAATTCAAATAATTGAAGGGGATTTGGTTGCCATTCAACTGTCTGTGAATACAAGACTTAGCACTTGCATAAGGAGTTTGGCAATAATGGCTAACTAAAAAACAATAGCATAGAAGTGCAAATACGGCTGAATTAACAGATTTCCTTTTGTGAATAGATTGTTTAGTTTCACAGAGTAAACTTTCTTATGAAACTACTGAATTGGGGCAACTGGACACCATTCAGATGTCATTTGGAACTTTGTGAATAGATCTTTATGAGAAATCTCTATGAGAAATAAACAGCCCAATAAAGATGGCAGGGTTTTATCTCAAAACTAAAAGGATGCAAATAGGGAGTTGGAAACAGGTTGGGTTCCAAAGATGTGATGCGCTCGGCCTAGCACTTTTCCTGGTGCTGCACTGACATGGCATGTCTGATGAAGCACAGAGGGCAGTAGTTTGGCCGAGGCACGTGAGTTTTATCCCTAACTTTAGTAAACTGCGAGGAGGGAGCAAAATAAGCCATCATTAAATGATCACTTCCATGGGCTTTGTGAATGACCCACTCGTTGTACACAGGTTGCGTGTGGGCCTGTAAAGTTGGAGCAGCAGGGATTGCAATGCTAACGGTTAGGAACCTCCTTAAATGAAGTCTGGCCAGGGCTGACAGTAACAGTAATTTTACTGGCAGCACCTCTGACCCAGGCCTCAGGTAAGTTCACAGTGTAAAGTCCTGTTCAAATATCAGTTACTGATCTACTCAGGGAAAGGAGGAAAGATGGCCGCAGTGAGGTGGGCTCACAGAGATAGGTGGGCTGAGAACAAAACATAGCGAGAATGAATATGAATGAAAGAGACCTAATGGCTCAGAGATGTCTAAGAGGGCATATAAGACACTGCACACTGACAGAGCCTGATGCTAAAATGCTGAAAGAGACATGGGGATATGGGAGCTTGAAAAACAGTGAGTGTGAGAAACAGACGTGGTGCTGTCTGGAAGGTGAACATAGCATGAAAGTAGACAAGGGAAATTGAGGGAGAAACGAAACAAAGGGGATTGATATGGACGGACACCTGCGAAATACAGGCTAGCGTTTTTAAAGGAACACTAAAGTATTAGAAATACAAACCTGCCTTCTTAACACTTTACTGTCATTGTCCCTATCTCTATTCAGGTCCCCCTCTTGAGGAAATTTAAGAAAAGTTAAGTTTTACTTGCATTTTTCCAGTGCTGAGGCTCCCTTCCTGCTTATCTCGAGACACTGGGAAGACAGCCTGGGGACCTGGGACACGCTACAGCTGGGATACAGACAAACACCTGGCACATAACTCTCAGCCTCCCCTATAGTGCTCCTCATATGTAGATGCACGCGCATCCAAGCTTCCCCCTTGGAATCAATATTTTCTAATGGGGGCTTCCATATCATGTGACCCAATTTTACTTAGCTAGTGCCGCAGAAGCGCCTCTAGCGGCTGTCAGTATGAAAGCCACTAGAGGTAGACCTAACCCTACAATGTGAATATTAAATTTTCTAAAGAACTGTAATGTTTTACATTGCAGGGTAAAAAGAAGAAGACTACTGTAGCCAGGAAACATCATTCAGATGAAGTGGCCCTTTAAATTATTTTAATAGAAATATCCAGCATTTTATCTTGTCTTTGGCACCACCAACCTTAGAGCCAACCTTGCCTGGCTAGGAGTGATAGGGCTTGTGGCTGAACAGTAGAAACAAGGCTATTCGATTCAAGAAGTTCCAAACTGATCTTTAGTAGAACTTGATGTTGTGATAAATGTAACTAGGTTTAAATGTAGTTTTCATGCGCAATGCATTTTTTTTTTAAATCTTCCCTAAAACTGGGGCATGCAGCGGATATTTCAATGAAACATTGAAAACAATGATAAATTCACTGCAGTTTCTTTGTCCTAGTTTTTAGCAGTTGATGTATTTTTTTTCAATTCTTTGGAATTCGAGTAAAAGTAGGGATAGATAATAAGTGATCAATTTTTAAATGGTTCACTGAATTTCAAATGGAAATGTTTTAGAGTCAAAACATATTATGAAAACATGTATGTACACATGTACAAAACACAAAGAAACAGGAGTGCCTATCTTAAATGTTTTAATGTTACACATCATTTATTTATAATCTGCAAATCTGTGTAGCAAAACAAGTAAGGGTATCGTCTATGGGCCATTTTGGCAGCCTCTGCCAGTTCAGGGGATCGGCACGGGCCGGGGTCGGAGGCTTCCGCCCCGGTGCGTGCAGTTCCCACGTGGCCAGGATAACCCCCACCGGCCTTGGGGGGAAGCGGGGCCGTGCCCCGGGCCGGCTCTGCTCTTCGTGAGGGTAAGCGTCTCTGTCTCGTGATTTCTGGGTGTTTGTCGGCTGCCGCATCTTGCTCACATGCCGCTGGTTTATGGAGGCAGGTAGGCCGGGTGTTTCGGTTTCGGTGCTCCCGGTGCATTGTTGGCCTCTTGTGTGGTATTGAAATTAAGCTGGAGCGATTCTCTGTCTTGATGTGTAGATATCTCCATATGCAGTTTTAGTGCCGGTTTTTGGGGCTCGAGCTTGGAGCTATGTCGGTCTGCTGCCATGGGGCCAGGCGGCACGGCCCCGCCCCCTTACACATCATTTATACGCCAGACTGTAGTAGAACCATTCTTGTTTTGAGGCATTTTGTTAGATAATACATAAAAATAAAAAAATCTAATGAAAGCAATAAATTAAAAAAAATTTTACAAAAATATTTACATTTGGATTTGAACTTCATAAATGTGTTGCATTCCTCCCAAGTGTTTTGGGAACAATTGCCTCTTGCCATCTTTTCTATCCTAATGTCCCCTTTTTCTAGGAGCTCCTTATTGTTGGTGTATCTGAGTGTTTAACCAAGCTCCACAGCAATAATACTCACAGTAATGTGTCTTTATTTAATGTGTATTTAGAAATCAGTCTGTAAATCAGATACATTGTTCTTATTCTAAATTACAGTTTAGTTGCATACATTTTGTTATTAGTAAGTCACCTAAAATATTCAGCCCCTGACCATATCCCCAATCATACCCCACAAATTTAAGTGTCCCTCTTTGTCCATCTGAAATGTTGGGAGTTATGGTGCTGCACTTCTCAAGGCTTTGCAGCTTCTGTAGTGAGTTGTGCCCAAAAGTCATGACACCAATAATGATGCGCTTTTAACGTTGTCTTGCAGTTTATTAGTGAAACGCATGCAAGTAGAGGAGCTATCAAGAGAAGGACTGAATTAATTGCGGTAAGACGCTAAAGCCCGTTAGTCAGTCTTGGACTTTTAAGAGTAAAAGAAGTGTAAAAGAATGCTAAACCTTGGATTTTTTTGGGCGAGATATTCATCCACTTTGTTCTTGTGGTTTCTTAAAAATGTCTTCAGAATCTCTCAGTGGCATTATTTTTCCATAATGCAATGCATAATACATAGTTATGTATCTTTTATTTTACATGATTTTTTAGTATTAGGTGCTTTGGCTCCTTTAAATCTATGGCAGCACTAGTACATATGAACCTGCCTGTGATTGGTAGGTGTTACACTCCTGGCCAGCAGCTGGTAGACTTCATTCCCTATCCATAACTCATATGCAGGGAGATGAGCAGAGGAGACAGATTATGACTGTCTGTCTCCCATCTTCCAAGCACCCCATCTAAAGTTTGTTTCATCGCCCCACAAAACAGAATCTTAAAACTTTTGTGCCTTATTTATATGATTTTGAAGCATATTGGAGCAGAATTTTCTTGTGCTTTTGGGTCAGTAGTGGTATAAATCTTGGAGTTCTGGCATGTAAACCTTCTGCGTTTAATAGGCGCCTTACTGTGCTCACTGAAACATCACTGCCTGTTGACATTAAGACTTGCTGCAGGTCTTTTGCAGTCACTCGAGGGTTTTTCACAACTTGCCTTCTCAGAAATCTGGTTGCAATCATTGAAAGCTTCCTTTTCTGCCCTTCCCAGATAGTGTATCCAGTCTTCGTTCAACTTTGAAGTATGCTTTCACTATCTTTTTGTATCCTGTTCCTTGTTTGTAAAGGGCAAGGATCTCTTCTCTTAACTTTGTGGACCATTTTTTGACTTTTTTAACCATATTTCTAACATGCAGTCTAATGTGACACTCAACAAACCCCTAGCCAGTTCAGGTATTTAAAGTGTTCCAGCTTAAGCACAAATGGCACAACTAATGAAGCCATTGATTAGTTGCATCAGGTGTGCTTGAGACAACAACTGTTTTTGCATATTTGTGCTGTTGTGAGGGATTCTGTTCAGGGGACTGAATAATTTTGAGACTGGAGAAGTCATTATAAGTTGCATTTTCAGTCGAATTTTGGGAAACCACTTAAATCATTTCTTCTGTTGAGCTATTTCAATTGATTTTGTTTGATTTGTTCATTGCAAACAGCTGAAAGTCTGTAAATTTTGACAATAAACCTGATTTTCAATGGGGATGAATCATTTTAATTACAACTGTATTTATTAAATATATAATATATGAATATAGATTTTTTTTTCTAATAGATACCTTTTCCTACTCTACTGATCAAATTTCCCTTGATATGTGTATAAAATCAATCATCTTTCCATTTATCATGTTTTTTTTGGCGCCACGGCCTCCGATTTTTGTAACAAACAGCTCTTTCAATCCTTGGTTTCTTGTTTCGTGATTTGGAATTATGGACCACTCACTGATGTCCAAAATTCAGATGAAGTACGAGTCATTTGAAACCGAATGCACAAGTGTAGTAGTTATTTTGTACACTGTGAAGAACCCCAATGTCCTTGGAAGTAGTTAAAATTGTGATGCCCTCATGGCTAATTCCCTACTGCCAACCCATTGGTGGGCTGAAGACAACTGATCTTATGAATGTATTCCATTGTTTCCAATGGAAAAATTATATCATGGTAGAATTTAGCTTCCCTTTTGTAATTCATATGTAACCTGAATGTGTTATGTAAAAAATGCTGCACACTGTCTGGGTTTGATTATTAAACAGTAATTTACAACAAGTTAAGAAATGACATGACAAAAATGTAGACACAAATACTGTGCAAAATCTTAACAAATTCTATATATTTTTTTGGAGGCACCTATTTATATTTTACAACTAAGTAGCCGGCTCAGCAAAAATGATCAATGACACTCAAGGAGGTAGGTTACAGCTAATGATTCAAAAACGTGTGCAACAGTGGTCTTGTTTGCAGCATACTGAGATCCAAGCTAGCAGCTAGTTTAATGTTACACTTTGAAGTATGAGATCAAGCAAACCCTAACTGATGGAATACATAGACTTGACAAACAGGAACACTCCAGCATGTTGCCAAGTACCTGGGTTCTCTGAGTATGTAAACATTACTGAGTAGTGTTTGTGGCAATTCCATTTGGTTCAGTATGGCTTTCAGGGACTGATTGCTGTTCTAGAACACTGTTGGGAAAATACCTGCCTCCAATTCCATGAAAAAATTACTACAACTAATAAGAACAGACAACTGTGAAAATTAAAAACGACAGGAGAACCTCCTGTGTATACTTGAATTTACTATCAATGTTCTTTTCAATGTTTAAACCATGGCTGGTCCTTTTTTGTAAGCCTTTTTACAGGGTTATGTGTGGCTAATATATGTCTACCGACCTACCTACCTACCTACCTATTTATCTGAACTCACAGAGGTGGGTAGTTTACAGGCTGCCTGTCAGGACAACATGACGCTGGGTCACCATTACATGGTGTGACGTCACTGTGCCCTGCAGTCTTTGCTTGCATTTCTACAAATGTATCAGGAAAGTAGCCATATGATGCAAAAGTAGAGACTCGGTGCAAACCAGTTCAGGTAAATAAAGTCCTGTGGCCTTTTAAAAGTACAGAATGTGAGAGCACTCCTCTGTGTTTGGTACTCCACAACCATTGTGCTTCAGGTTAATCAGCAGATCCAGTCACACAGACAGTCACATAAGCACACCATTGTGGTAACATCAGAAGATGCTCTGGAGAAGCTGAAGAGCCATTAGGTCCAGGAAAGGGGGACTCAGCACCACTGCATAACACTGAATTCAGACAGGCACTTTAACAAACTTCTGATGCACATCTGCTTTAAAGGACCACTATAGTGCCAGGAAAACACTCGTTTTCCTGGCACTATAGTGCCCTGAGGGTGCCCCCACCCTCAGGGTCCCCCTCCCGCCCGGCTCTGGAAAGGGGTTAAAACTTACCTTTTTCCAGCGCTGGGCGGGGAGCTCTCTGCCTCCTCTCCTCCTCCGTTCCTCCTCCTGGGCTGAATGCGCACGCGCGGCAAGAGCTGCGCGCGCATTCAGCCTGTCGCATAGGAAAGCATTTACAATGCTTTCCTATGGACGCTGGCGTGCTCTCACTGTGAAAATCACAGTGAGAAGCATGCAAGCGCCTCTAGTGGCTGTCAATGAGACAGCCACTAGAGGATTAGGGGAAGGCTTAACCCATTGATAAACATAGCAGTTTCTCTGAAACTGCTATGTTTATAAAAAAATGGGTTAACCCTAGAAGGACCTGGCACCCAGACCACTTCATTAAGCTGAAGTGGTCTGGGTGCCTAGAGTGGTCCTTTAATCATCAGTTCCGTGTAATGTCACAATTAATGCCTTGTCATCGCTGTATAATAAATAGCATTATTAAACCGGAAGTGATCATTGCTTATTGCAAAAAACACACTTACTTTTATGCATTTCAGTATTCAGGGTGCCATCGCTGCCATGATGGCTCAGGAACATGTGAGTGAAGACATCTACAGAAAATGCTACACAAACAAACATTCCTTCAGTAGTCCTATACGCACACATGAACCACAAGTAATGCACTGCCGAGATTACTTAATTTACATTAAATTCCCAACAGGCCAGGCAAGGCATGCAAATTAAAAAATAAAAAAAGATTTGAGAAGATTATAAAAAAGAAATAGCACAACCCATAACTAACTTTTAATGCATGAATTTCACTAGTCACCGTTCCACTTTAATATTATTATTAGTATACTTATTACTATTATTACTATCATTACAGTATCATTATTATTACTATAAAAGAACCTTCTTATGCTATGCTCTGGACTTATTTTACCTAATACTATGTAAGTAGAGAAAATGAATGTGTATGTTGTGATATTTCATCTTTATAAAAAAAAAAATTAGATTTTTATGAGATTGAAAAAGGAAAGCGATTGGAGACTGACTTTTAAAGGAGGCGATTTGTCAGAACTAAAATATGTTTGGGCTCGAGTCAAAATAATACTTGTGATTGGTGCCTGCTGTTTATAAATGGAAGCTTTCTGATTCCCTTCCTCGTGTAGGATGTTAGGAATTCCTCATGTGCTTTCGTTTAAAAGGGCAGGCGTGTTGAACGTCAACAAGTTTGAGTGACACGAGGTGGGTGATTGATGCATTTTTACACCTACAGTGTTGCTTCAAAGGGGTAATTTGTA